TCCAGAAGATCGTCCAGCCTCTGCAGTAATTACAGGGGAACTGTGGTAACACAAGTAAGGCCCACATCAGGGTCTGAGAAGGAAAGACCATTTTTCTGAATGCAAAACAAAAATACATTTGCATGGATGATCGTTTTCACATCCTAATCCTAGAAAGATTTGACAAGCAAGCAAAATCTCCACACAGGTGGGCTCCATAAAGTAGAGTTGCATTCGAGCCTAATAATAATAATAATAATAATGTCATCACAATGTCAGCACTGTATGTTTCCATACAATGGCGAAATTAGTCTCTGCATTTATAATAAATCCGGCCCAGCCCGAGCCCGTTGTTTGTTTGTTTTTCCGAGCCCTACCCGGACCCAACGGATTACTGGTAATTAGAGGGAAGAAACTGAAAAAAAAAAAATAATAATAATAATAACTTTTTTTTAATTAAGCTTTTCCTGCTTTTGTAAGCAAATCAGTTTGACATGATACTTTTAAAAACGTAATGAAAGGAAGCTATAAGATTTATTTTTATTAACAAGTCACCAAATTAATATTAACATACAAAACGAAGAGCCTAAACAATCAACTGTAAAGATAGGCTCTACAGATGAACAAAAATAGTTTTAGAGCAAAATTATTTGGAAAAATATAGAACAAGACTATTTTAATTGAACGTGCTGCTCGCTTTGGATTTTGCAGATTCTGCTACTTCCTTCACCGCAGATGACAGCAGGTGCGGAGTCGCGCGCAGCCCGTGATCAGCTGATCCATCCATCCATTATCTTTACCCGCTTCTTCCTTTTCGGATAGCGGGGGTTGCTGGTGCCTATGTCCAGCAGTCACTCACTGTGCGAAAGGTGGGGTACACCCTGAACAGACCACAAGTCCATTTCAACCGGCGAGTCAGCGGACGTGCACGGCTGGTGACAGGTCATCCATCCGAGCTTAACGGGACTTTGTTAAAACCTCTTTAAACCAGCCGGTCGGACCGATCTGCCTCCTCCTCAACAAGTACATTAACACAATTTTATATTGTGCATTTAGTTTTTTTCATGCTGCATGATTCGTAAAACCGCAGAAGCCTGAGCCCACGTGCGCAATTACTGCGCAATGCGCCAGCGATCTCTTCCACAATCGGATTAACCGCTGCACTCTTCTTTCTTTCCTCATCCTCTCATCATAGTAAACTTACTGCCTCCTCCTCTACAAGTAGATTAACACAATTTTACATCGTGCATTCTTAGTTTTATTTGTGCTTGTATGATTCGTAAAGGCAGCACGGTGGCGCAACTGGTAGAACTGCTGCCTCTCAGCGAGCAGGTCCTTGGTTCAAACCCCGGTCCAGGGGCCTTTCTGGGTGGAGTTTGCATGTTCTCTCCGTGCATGCGTGGGTTTTCTCCGGGTACTCCGGTTTCCTCCCACAGTCCAAAAACATGCATGTTAGGCTGATTGGTAACTCTAAATTGTCCCTAGGTGTGAGTGAGAGAGTGAATGTTTGTTTGTCTCGTTTGTCTCTATGTGGCCCTGTGATGGACTTGCGACCCGTCCAGGGTGTACCCCGCCCCTCGCACAGTGATTGCTGGACATGGGCACCGGCGACCCCCGTGACCCAAAATGGAATAAGCGGGTAAAGAAAATGGATGGATGGATGGATGATTCGTAAAACCGCATCAAAGCCCGAGACAGGCCAAGCCCACACATTAATCACATTATAACGGCCCGGACCGGCCCTAATCTGGGTCGGGACGGGTTTCGGGTTTGGGTTAGAAATGACAGCTCTACCATAAAGGAACATTTACCTAAACAGCTGGGGCCACCTTGGCTCAAGGGATATTTTATCCCTCTGACTCACACACATGCAGTTTTCTTTTTAGCCATTTTATGGAAACGCATCGATGGCCTTTAACGACGCTGGCCCATTTGTTTGATCTCAAGGTAGACGCTGTGTTGGTATAGATCATTTCAAATTGACTGGTGTCATTTAAAGTTTTCCCACGCAACCAGTGAGTCATACGAACGAGCGCACATTCAAATTATTGTTCTTATTTTTACTTTCAGCGCCACGAACGGATGGAATCTTTGCTGCACGAATCAAGGAACGCCCTCCGATCACTTTGTTTCACAGCTGTTTTACTGGCAACCATTTCCCAGTAGCTTCGCCTGCGATAAGGACACCACCTCTAAGATCAAATCACAACGAAGCAATTTCCATTCAGAGTTGCACGACGCAGACATCATTTCTAACCGCAACTGAACAACCGCAGATGATTTGATTTCCTTCTGTCGGGGTTTTAGAGAAAAGAAAATTAGGTTATTGTCTGCTCACAAACTAAATGTGCACAGGAATGACTCAGCATAATAGTTGTTAAACAGATTGTGGCTTGTGTACACCTGCTGTGTATACAGAAGAGACAGGGAAGGTAGCCACACCTGAAGTATTTACCTTTTTTATTTAATTTGGTTGCGTTTATGGATTTGTGACGATGTTACAGAGCAAGATTTTAGAAGAGTGCCTCAAAAAGCAGAAAACTGTAAAAATGTATTTCATGGGTGCTCAGCTTTTACAACAGGACAGGAAATGACCTAATTAATTAGTTTATTCTAATTATTCATAATGACACAATTAACTGGTTTTTAAGGAGTTTAATGGGTTTATTAATGTCACAAGTGAACATTCACTTGGATATTTTAGTTTTATGAGTTTAATCTAAGGTGTTAATTTAATGTTTTGATGATGCCACTGGACTCTTTGAATTCCCCCACAGAGATAAATAAAAGTAAACAATTCAATTATCATATTTTGTTGATTTGGTCATGCACAGCAGCAACACTTTCATTAATTAAACAGTAATAAAGCGTCCCAGTACAATAATGTGAGTAAGTGCTAGCCCATTAGCATGTTGTCCTCTTTGACACTGGTTGTTGGGGATGTGAACGTTCACTAACCGGGCTATTTGCTCTTGTAATATCCGTACTGGACTCATTCTGCGACAATAAAACAAAACATTTATTTTTATTTTTATATCTATAAATAAATGTACCCTGAGTTCGTCCCTCTCAGCCTCCCAGCGATATTTCTCGGCCTGGAAACGTCCCCACTCGTACTGGATGAAGTGCAGGATCCCTGGAAGCGTCATACCCGAGGAGTCCCCGTCCTGTGTGTCTCGAGGCAGCAGCGACCCACCACCCGGGGCGGCCCCGGCTGCTGCTGCCGCCGCCACCGCTGCCATGATGTGACCTGTCGCGGGGGCTGCGGTCATCTGGCCCGGTGCTGCTTTCGGCCCGTTCGGGTTGCGCCCCGCTCCGCTACCGCCGCAGCTCCCACCGCCTCCGGAGTTCGGGTTTGGTCCTCCGCCGGATCTGTCCGCCTCCATTTTAAACGTTCAACCTCTCGCCAGGATAAAGGGGTGGGAGCGGGCAGAGTGTATTAACAAAAAATATATATTTACATTAAAAAAAGTACCCCGTTCCCCCTTTCAAACCCAATGTTCTTCATCAAAAGCTGCCCTCTAATCTTCCTTTTCTCACACCGCACAGAGCAAAATTACTATTCACTTGGAAAATACTACACTTCCGTTTCCAAACCTTCAGAATAAAACTCAGTAGCAAAATTACTATTCACTTGGAAAATACTACGCTTCCGTTTCTAAACCTTCAGAATAAAACGCAATCTTCACATAAAAATGAAAAAGTTAGAATTTTAAGTAACAAATGGGACTTTTTTCTAATAAAAAGTCTATAATCAATCAAAATTAATCCATAATGTCATGTTAATGCTAAAATATAACCATTTGGTATCGTTCACGCAAAATTAGTGGGTGTTTGCGACTTTTATTTTGATTGCCCTGATTATTTCCTGTGTGCTGGGAGTTTGTAAATTTCTAATTTTATAAAGAAATAAAGGGACGGCGTTTTCTGTAATAAATAATGGACACGTTTTTGAAGATAATTTCCAGCCAGTTTGTGAACAGGACACTTTGGGAACATTTTAAATTTGATATAATTAGTCATAATTCTGCTTCCGGTTTCACGTTTCACGCATTTTTGATTTTAAGAAATATGTGGTTTAAATGTATTTTCTTAAAAAAAAAGAAATTAAAAAAAGGGAAACGAATAAATTTAAATGTAATGAGCCTCGAGGTTTTTTTTGTTTGTTTGTTTGTTTTTAGCAACGATATTAGCTTCATATTTGGATGTTCAACAATTGCTTTTGAAATTATTTTAAATTGGGTGTACATTTGTTGCACATAGCTATGTTTAACATTTATATTTTAAGGTGTGTGTAACTGAGACAGTTGTTTTGAGATGTATTTGTTCAGATTTTTTTTTTTTTTAAGATAAGATTTTTATTCTGAAGGAGGTTAACCGGAAGTCTTGTTGTTGCTCCGAGCAACAGAGAAGAAGTGTGCTAGCAAAATGCTAACATCGTACGGCAGGATTTCTTGGTTACATCCATGCAAATTAAATACTTATTTTTAGTAGCAGCTTTCCGTTTTTAATGTCGAAGTCTGGTTTATATGACATTTGGGCAAATTTTGGCAAATGGTGCGGAATAACTGTTTATTTTTTTTACTGCAGACGTTTCTAAAAATGACACCTATTACTCCTGCGCTTCCAAAATGTAAAAAAACTACTACATAATGACTGTCTTGCATCGAGTATGATTATTTACTCTCAAATAAAGGTAAGTTGTGGTGATTCATTCCATTTACATGTGAATAGTACTGCAGATAATATTTGATTTGCTAAAAAATAACTGCACAGATAGGAGGGTACAGTTTATGCACTGGTTTGACAAATTTAGGCACGGATAATTTTAGTGATTTGTCACTACTGTTTGTTTTTTATATATAGTAGTAAGCTTGTGCCATATTAAAGAACCAATATTATGCTTTTGAGACATTGGTCTAAACATGATATACTCATGTACGTCAGCTGTTTTATGTGTGTTTTCTTGTTTTTTAGTTTGTCTCCAACTCTCATTAATCCACTTTTAAACGCATGGGAACCAAAGACCTGCCAATGGATGTTGCAATTCTTTGAAGGAGCACAGAATTAATCTGTTGCCATGCGTATCACTTTCTGCCAGGCCCTGTTAACTGGTGCCATCGTCATCAACCTCCTTATTCTTTATTATGTGTCTCGAGCCCAGCAGCAGATGATGGAGAAGAGGAAGGAGCTTGGCCGTGGCACGAGGAGGGCTGCTCGGCCAGGCTCAGTTCTCGGAGGAGGCCTAGGAGTCCTCGGAGGAGAACATGGATTGGTTGGAGTGGAGGGGCACGGGCGAAGCCCTCGTGTGACTGTTCTTCTTCGGGAGTTTGAAAACTTTGAGAATTATGTAAGGGATGTGGCTAATTCCTTCCTTCGTCAACGACCGGATCTGCCCTTCCTGACTGTGGCTGACGTGTTTCCATACCCTCCCCTTGTGCTTCCTGAAGGCGCTCGTCTTCTGGTGCTCTCCCCCAGTCCGGAGCAGCCACCGCAAGCTCACAGGCCAGAGTTTCATGTGCAAACAGAGTTTGTGCTGTTGGTGCCTGATGGAGTGGAGCTTGAGCAGCCTCGAGTTATTGAGAGGCTGATTAAGGAGTTGGAAGGGGAGGGTGGGGGGCCTGTGAGGCTGGTAGCTGCACCTGTGCTTGTTCGATCGGCTGTTCAGTGCCTCCACCTGCGGGTGAACCTTAGAGAGTGGACAGCCACCTACTCACCAGCTGCTTCTGGAAGCAGTGGGAGTGTGTGTACGGCTTTACAAGGAGATGCAGTTGTCCTGATACGTACAGAGGACCTTTTCAATCTGTCCGTCCCTCTGGGGCGACCCCTTTTTCCTGCTCTTTTTGTTCAGACCTCCTTGAGAGGTTGGAAAGTCAAACTGCTGGAAAGCCCTTGCTTCTCCACAAACCACAGGCCACTTTTCAGCTCTGCGCACAGTCAGTGGAAGGCTGAGACTCGACTGAAAGAGGCCACGGGGAAGCTAATGAGGAGCTTTGGTCTGAAGCGCCTCCTGATGCCTGATGGGAAGGAACAGTGGTACGGCTGCAGTAAAGAAACGCCTCGCTGCTTTGGTACTGTGCAAGATGACACGCCGGACTATCTTTACCTTGATCGCTGGACGCCTCCTTGCTGTCTGCGATCACTCAGGGAAACCACCAAGTATGTCATCAATGTCTTGGAGAGTTCAGGGGTGCGCTACTGGTTAGAGGGCGGGTCTCTGCTCGGTGCTGTTCGCCACCAAGACATCATCCCATGGGATTACGATGTGGACCTGGGAATCTACCTGGAAGATGTGCCCAATTGTGACCACCTAAAGAACCTGGACTCAGGCTCTCTGGTGGATGCTAATGGATACGTGTGGGAGCGCGCTGTGGAAGGAGACTTCTACAGAGTCCAGTACAGCGAGGCCAACCACCTACATGTCGACCTGTGGCCGTTCTACCCCCGGAACGGCGTCATGACTAAAGACACGTGGACAGAGCACAAACAAGACGTGGAGTTCCCAGAACATTTCCTGCAGCCGTTGGTCCCCATGCCTTTCGCTGGCATCACAGCCTATGGCCCAAACAACCACAGAGCCTTCCTGGAGCTCAAGTTTGGAGAGGGAGTGATCGAGAACCCTCAGTACCCAAACCCTGACAGAAAAAGGCTGGACAGAAGCAAGTTATGAAAGACAGTAGGGACTCACAGGCCCTTTTTATATTGCACTGATACTTTTTATTTATTTAAGTGATTCAAAAGAATTTACCTCTTTTTTTGACAAACAAAACTACACAATGCCAAAACAACTATTAGCTGACAGCTTTATAATCTCAATCAGTCAAACCATTTTTAATTTATTTTAACGTGTTTTACATGTAAAGTTTGAGACTTTCTATGAAGGAACAGTGACCCTAAAAAATGTAAAAATAGGCCTGTCGCAATAAACAATAAATCAGTAATAACATGATAAATGAAAATTATCAACCTCATTTTCATATTTCGGCTTTATCGTTTCTTCGTGTCTCTTTCTACTGAAGACACTGGATGACAAAAGGCTCACCTCCAGTGGTCTTCATTGACCCTTCCCTTTCTCTTTTCTTTAAAATCCATTTTAACCATCCAAAATCGAGTTTTTGGATCGTTAAAAGCAGCTAAGCTGAGAAGCTAAGCTACTAGCTAAGCTAACAGGCCAACCTCGGGAAAAAAACACCGTCTTGTCAAAGCTCCAAAATTCATGGCTGAAACCCGTGCCTTCGTGTAAAATGTTGTTTTTCTCTGCAAAAAGAAGCTGAGAACTTGTTTACTGATTTTTTTATTAAAAGCTTTGTGTGAAAAATACTATGCTAAAGCGCTCAAACCACACCGAGCGCCGAACCGAAGAAAAGGCAAGACATCCCATGTCACGTCAAAGGGCCTCCCTACCATTTTTTTAGAGACACGCTGCTCGCTCCCTCACTATCCATCCTTCAGTTCAAACAGTCTCATACTGCCATCCGGTGGTCAAAAAAGGTACTACACACAAAACAAATGAACCAACATTTCTTCTTAAATTTGGCATATTTACTAATTATTGTCAAATTTCAAAAAATAGTATTGTTTATCGCAATAACTTCTGAGACGATTAATCGCCCAGCAAAATGTGTTATCGTGACAGGCCTATGTAACAGTACATCAATGTACTAACATTTAATGAGAAACTAATGTTACTATAACAGACTGAATGTGTTGTACAGTGTAAATATTACTGCAGTAAGGACAGAACATTTCAAACCACAAGTGTTTTTCTGATTATCCTCAGCAGTGTTTGATGTTTTTGTACAGAATCCATTTCAGTAGGTGACTTTGGCTTTTTTAATTATCAAACAGTTCATTTGTGTTGCCTTGTTTCACTTTTGCACATGTATAAATGAATCTAACAAGGTCAGGTCTTCTGGATGGATCCTTCTTTGTTGAAATGTTTCGTCTTTAATCCAAAGGACTTCTTCAGTCTGAGGTACGAATATATAAAATAATATATATAAATGAATGTTCATGAGGATCATTTGCTGCCAGTCGGCTCCTTTTATGGATTAAGAAACAATGTGAACGTAAACGTTAGAAGGTTTTTTGGTCTTTAGCACAAAAAAAACAAGGAATTTAAACGGAAAGAAGACACAAATATGTTCAGCATAAAATGTTTGCAACTTTATGTGCTGTTTGGTTTATTTTAGTTCTCATACTCGATGTGTGGTCAGTTTGCATTTCTTATTTATTGTTTTTAATATTTTGTTGCCTCTCATTTTAAGGGCTAATACTCAAATGATACTGTAAAGCCTGTTTAAAGGCGTATTTTACCCCGTTTTGTGTCCCTCTCTAGCAGATACAATAATTTCTGGTTAAAATTAAAGGCCTAGCGTTCCATGAAGCAATGCTTGTTACTCGTCACCTTTCATGCCAGAGTTTAAAACTCACCTGTACAAGGGTATAGTAGTTTTTTGTCAAACCTTAAAAATAAAGTTGTACGGTATTTCATGTGACATTGCTGAGTGTGGATCTGTTCGAGCTCGGAGTAGGTGTTGGTAATGACTCTCAGCTACCACCAACCCCAATTTTAGATTGATATCTGTAAATTAACAGCTACGGCCACTTTTGGTTTTGATAGGAGTGCTAAGCGGTGACTCGATTCGACTTCAGCAGGTTGCAGATGTACAAATCGGATTCCAAAAAAGTTGGGACACTAAACAAATTGTGAATAAAAACTGAATACAATGATGTGGAGATGGCAAATGTCAATATTTTATTTGTAATATAACATAGATGACAGATCAAAAGTTTAATCTGAGTAAATGTAACATTTTAAAGGAAAAATATGTTGTTTCAAAATTTCACAGTGTCAACAAATCCCAAAAAAGTTGGGACAAGTAGCAATAAGTGGCTGGAAAAAGGAAATTGAGCATAGAACGAACAGCTGGAAGACCAATTAACACTAATTAGATCAATTGACAACATGATTGGGTATAAAAAGAGCTTCTCAGAGTGTCAGTGTCTCTCAGAAGCCAAGATGGTAAGAGGATCACCAATTCCACCATTGTTGCGCAGAAAGATAGTGCAGCAATACCAGAATGGTGTTACCCAGCGTAAAATAGCAAAGACTTTTAAGTTATCATCATCAACCGTGCATAACATCATCAAAAGATTCAGAGAATCTGAACAATCGCTGTGCGTAAGGGTCAAGGCCGTAAAACTCTACTGGATGCTCGTGATCTCCGGGCCCGTAAACGTCACTGCACCTCAAACAGGAATGCCACTGTCAAGGAAATAACAGAATGGGCTCAGGAATACTTCCAGAAAGCATTGTCCCTGAACACAATCCACTGTGCCATCCGCCGCTGCCAGCTGAAACTCTACAGTGCAAAGAGGAAGCCATTTCTAAGCAAGCTCAGACATTTGCACTGGGCCAGGGGTCATTTAAAATGGAGTGTGGCAAAATGGAAGACTGTTCTGTGGTCAGATGAGTCACGATTTGAAGTTCTTTATGGAACACTGGGACGCCATGTCATCCAGACCAGAGAGGACAAGGATAGCCCAAGTTGTTATCAACGCTCCGTTCAGAAGCCTGCGTCACTGATGGTATGGGGTTGCATGAGCGCTTGTGGCATGGGCAGCTTGCATGTCTGGAAAGGCACCATTAATGCAGAGAACTATGTTCAGGTTCTAGAACATATGCTCCCATCTAGACGTCATCTCTTTCAGGGAAGACCCTGCATTTTTCAACACGATAATGCCAGACCACATTCTGCAGCAATCACAACATCATGGCTACGTAGGAGAAGGATCCGGGTACTGAAATGGCCAGCCTGCAGTCCAGATCTTTCACCTATAGTGAACATTTGGCGCATCATAAAGAGGAAGGTGCAACAAAGAAGGCCCAAGACGATTGAACAGTTAAAGGCCTGTATTAGACATGAATGGGAGAGCATTCCTATTTCCAAACTTGAGAAACTGGTCTCCTCTGTCCCCAGACGTCTGTTGAGTGTTGTAAGAAGAAGGGGGGATGCCATGAAATTTGGAAACAACAGATTTTTCCCTTAAAATGATACATTCTCTCAGTTTAAACTTTTGATCTGTGATTTGTGTTCTATTCTGAATAAAATATTAGATGTTGGCACCTCCACATCATTGCATCCAGTTTTTATTCACAATTTGTTTAGTGTCCCAACTTTTTTGGAATCCGGTTTGTACATCCAGTGGTGACTTTCTGAGAGTTTCATTTAAATCTGCCCACTTGTTCGTAAGATATTTTGCAAACAGACAAGCAAATGAACACACATACACTCCTTGAGGCTTGTAATTAAGATAATTCATCCGTAGCCCTGTCTGACCTTATTATGAAAAGATTCATTATGTGCAATATTAAATAAGCCTCCATCTAATTGTAATGGGACATAAGATAAACCTGCATTCATCTGACTACTGTGCTTTTTGCAGATTTTCTAATAAATGTGCATCATGTATGAGTGTTTCACATTTGAAAAACTGGTCAAATAAAAAAATTATTTAAGTTACAAATTGAGGCTGCTGTTCTTCATGAACACTAGATGGCACAACACACCTAACAGAGTCCATGTTCGGAGGATGTAAAGACTAGTAAACAGGAATGTGAGTTTACTGGAACTAGGCTGAGTTATTCCCCATCAACCAGTTTAGTGATGCAAGAGTGTCCTGAAGCCACACGGTCAACAGATCAAAACTGTTCCTGGAGTTTTGTTTACATTCCTTCCTGCTGAGTGTGGAGCTTCACTATAGTTCTCAGTCATGATTGAAACGAAAGCCCTTACTCTTTCAGAGCTCAAGTTTTACATTACAGCATTTCATTTCTAAAAAGGTTGAGTCAGGTCCTCTGGATGGATTCTTCTTTGTTGAAATGTTTCATGATTTTGAGCTGCAACAAATTCAGTCCTATAAGCAGCACCTGTTCATAGTGGATCAGTCAGTTTTATGGTGACAGCCAAAACTAGTAGCTCATATGACAAAGGAGCCAAATCATCAGCCTAATGACAGATCTTTAGCATTAAAGCTGATGGCTGTTTACTATTCACAGGAGGCTGGGTGATACTAGCAATCACAGCATTGTAAGAGGGGGACAGTTGAACCCGGAGGCCTCCACCCCTGTTTAATGATGGACGATTTCTTTTCACAAAGATGGCCTCCTTTACTCCTCTCTCAAACCATCGTTCCTCTCTGTCCAGGATGTGAACATCTTCATCCTTGAAAGAGTGACTGCTGGCCTGGAGATGAGTGTAGACCGCAGAGTCCTGGCCTGATGATGTTGATCTTCTGTGCTGGGCCATCCTTTTGGCCAGTGGCTGTTTAGTTTCCCCGATGTAAGACTGATCACAGCCCTCCTGACACTGAACAGCATACACAATATTGCTCTGTTTGTGCCGGGGGACTGGATCTTTGGGATGAACCAGTCTTTGCCGTAATGTATTTTGGGGTTTAAAAGCCACTGGGACGTTATGTTTAGAAAATAAACGTCTCAGTTTCTCTGATACTCCCTCAACATATGGAATGACCACTGGTCTGGGTTCCTCCTTTTCACCTAATGGCTGACTGGAGTCCTGTTTGGGTTTCTTCTCTGCTTTCAGGAAGGCCCAGTTAGGATATCCACATTGCTCTAGAGCAGGGGTGCCCAAAGTGGGGCCCATGGGCCAAAGTTGACCCGCCAAGTTGTCATATTAAAATTTCCTTTGAAGAATCAATGTGCTTACACTCATTGACTTCATTGTTAGTCGGCCTGACTACCATAATTTAACTACACAGATTACACAGTAGATAATGTATGTATTTTTTAAATAATTTAAATTTATTTTTTTATTTCATTTTAACAGACTTCCTACCATCCCTCGGCAGCTTCCTGCCACTGAATAAAATTTTCCTTTGATAGAACACAAAGCGTTTAAAAGTAAATTGTAAATATGAACTGGTTTCAGTGGTGATTTGAGCCTCTAAATTTAAACTCAGCACCCCTGAAAAATAAAGAAATCATTAGGATTGTGTAAGGAAACAGTTCTCAAACTTTAGATTCACCAAAATATTGAATAAATATGGAATAAATGATGACGGTCTCAAGCGGGCCAATACAATCTATGATTTTCTTTGTATGAGTCCCGCCGCCTGTCAATCAATCCAGTAGGCACGTCAGCAACTGTAACAATAACAGAGTTTTGTTTCATGTTAATCTATACGGTAATAAACGTTTGTAAAATACACCAGAATGCTGGAAATTACATCTACTTTAATCAAATTTCTCGGGGGGAACAAAGTTCAGTCAGGTCCTCTGGACTGTTTCTTTTGTTGTTGAGACGTTTCATCCTTCATCCAAAGGACTTCATCAGTCTGAGGAGCCACAACAAACTCAGTCTTCACAAGCAGCGCACTCCCATAGTGGACCAACCAGTTTGATGGTGATAAGATGGTTTCTGAGGCCCGCCCTCTTCCCCGTCGACTCCTCTGAAGCAGCCATAGCCAAAGTGGTTCAAAACATCAAACGTCCTTTGGATGAAACGTCCCAACAAAAACAAAATGTCCAGACGACCTGAATGAACTTTGTTGGGAATTTTTACCTGGATTATTGAGCATGAACTATGTTTTGAACACCTTAAATTGGATTCATGTAAAAGTTAATCAGGTGTCATGTTCTTCTATTCAATATTTCTTGAGTTTGTCTGATGGTTCGTGAAGCATTTTAGAAAAATGAATAAACCCCAGCACAAACAGTACTGTAATTCTCAACACAGAATTTACTAGCAGGACCAGGCAGCTGTTTGTCTTCTTCTCTATAGCTGGATGTGTAATGTGTCATCATTTATCCAGAGATGAATTTAACTAATTTAATTTAAATCTTTTACCATGACTGCCTAACGGTGTGTGCAGATGGAGCATCTCTGCAAACCAGAGGCTGTGCGCTGATGTAACCATAATGTTCCTTTTGCTCAAATTTGCAAGTTTAAAAAGACACAAGCATAAAAAAAAAAAAAAAGAGTTTTATTGCAAACCCAGTTTATACTTTTAAATTACAGCCTCACTGGAACAAACTCACTGCAGCCACCACAATCACACGTAAAACGGTTCACAGGACCGACTCTTCCACCTGGTTTAAGATTTCAGAAAGGACGTTTTTGCAACCTTGAGTCGGAAATAGTAATGCAACAGCACCTTCTGAGACAACTCTTGGTAATTCTGCATGACATGAAGCAAACATTGACGAAACTGCACGAGTCTGTAAATGGCAAACGAAAACATGGTATTCAAGAAGTCCTTTCCTTTTAAATACGGGACAGAAAACAAGTATTTTACAGTTCAGTGTGCACAACAAATGCACCAAAAACAAAAAAACAGTCTAGCGCCATCCAGTCAGCCGAAAGGAGTGATTTGGAGTAATTAACGGCCACGAACTTCTTTGGATTTTGATTAGAAATAAACAATTCAAACATTACGAGGCCTCACGTCTACAGACTCGAAAACATCTTGAATCCTCTCACAAAACTTCACGCATTAAAAGTTCAAAGACGCGCGCAGTGGAAGGCAACGTGACACGAGCGTGACATGTACAGTATTCACATCACGTGTTGCACCATCAGACGGTCTGTGCTTTAAAACCTATTTATACTTTGAGAAAACGCTGGAGCAGAAGCAACAGCTCGTACAAAATCCAGGGCATTAATTTATTAAATATAAAGAAAATGTTGGTGGAGGACCTCAAGAGTTCAGTCGTCTCCTTCATTCGCCTCTTTTAGTTTTTGGTCTCTGAGGATTTCAAAGCTTTTGAAGAAGAGTCCATCAGAAAAAGGCAGAAATATGTCACAATTATTCATAAAAGTAACGATAAGGCTATAATTCCACCTGATGTCTTTTGGAATATAAGAACTACTCTCGGCACGGAAACGACGATTAAAGAACCGTTTGTTTTGCATAATCAGAAATATTCCATCGAAGCTTTCACACACACTCCCCCTGAACAATAAAAAGAAACTAACATTTGTGCTTTTTTCTATACATTATGGCCATTTTCATGCAGGGGTAAGGCACAAAGGTGAATTTGATCTTTGTTTTTGTAGCGGTGGGATTTACAACGTGTACATCAAACAGCTACAAATGTGCAAACCAACACAACTAAATGGTTCTCTATGGTTTAATTTTGTGCAGGCAAAATAATCTGATGGTGTACCTTTGGTTCTTATGCGGCAATTAAACGATGAGCTAGCAAAAAAAAAAAAAAAAAAAAGTGCAATTTATACTAATAAATTAAATCAGGATTGGACGTAGTCTGAACTCCGTTTCCCCCTCTTAAAGAATAATCTGTGCTCGCACTCAGCTACTTTACCATTATTGACTGAAAGCAGTAATTATGAAAAAAAAAACATTTAAATGATTGGTCAAGGTTTTGGTCACATTTCAGATTAGGAAAAGGCACAGAGCCTTTACAAATGTATAAAAATTGACTTTACAGATGCAGAAGAAAAAAAAAAATCCATAAATCACATCTCTGTTCTAAATTAAAGCTTTTGTATCTTGATTGGCATAGGTTACCATCCCTAACGGATTATATTTGACGATTTATATAAAATACAATTATTCTGAATATATCACTTAATGAAGCCTGTTGGAAAGTGGCTATGCTCCTGTTAAGAGAAGTACAATTCTCCTCCTAGCCCCATTTGGAGATCCTTCTTGCCTACATTTCACAAGATGACAGCACTTCGTACAAATCAAACGAAGGTCGACACATTTAAAGTAACAGGTTACGAACTTTGACCGTGGAAAATGACAGACTGAGGAGAAGACGCTTCCATGGGGGCTCTCGTTCACTTTTAAAGTCAGAAATGTCCACGCTTACGAAAAGGGAAGCACTCAGTGACACAAATGAGATTTGACAATGTTTTAAAAGCAATCAGACCAACTCTTACATTTATGTCTTTTTTTTTTTAACTTAATGACTGATTGCATCTTGAAGATCACTGGTGTAGCTCCTGTGGGTGTATAAAGCATCATCTGATATAGATGTACTCAACGATGTCACAGACATTCTGACTTTAAAGTTGGCCAATCAAACGCACAGAAATCTGTCTAATGTAGACCAATGTGCTCCTAACAAGAATCACTTTGTACACAGTGCTGAGGTTAGAGAGGTTCTTCTGCAGCGTAGAGTCCTTCCTCACTCCTTGCACTCTTTTCTCCACGGCAGGACAAGAAAAGAAAAAAAAAGAAAAATCTGCGTAACGGGGGTTTGAACTTTAGGTTTCAGCATACAGAAGTGTCAGACTAGTCCGGAGTGACCCTGAGAACGTCAGCAGCAGGATTACATAGCAGATTCTCTCTCACTGGACGTCTTGACAGCTCGTTTATCTATGAGCGGCGAGGACTCGGGGGTGGCGGCAGACAGAACCCCGTCCATCCTGACCTCGCTCAGCTCGGCTCCGCCGTCGTGCTTCAGATTGCGGTCCACAAAGTGCTGCAGGAGTCCAGCTCCAAACGCGTCGCCCTCCACGTTCAGCACCGTGCAGGTACGATCTCTGAAGGAGATGAAACAAACAAAAAAAAAGATGTTTTGAATAAAAGGTGCACTTCAGAGCGATACGTTTTGCCACACCGAGTTGTTGTGAATGTTTCTGTGTACTCACACAATCCAGTCAACGGCAAGGATTAGAGAGATGTCTTTGGTTGGGAGTCCTATTGCTTCCAGGATAATAGCCAGAGTGAGCACCCCCCCTGCAGGGATACCGGCCGCTCCCACACTGGACGCTGTAGCTGTCACACTAACACACACACACATGGGACAGTGTCACAGTAGTGCACAGAAATGTACAAATAAAACAGGGTTTCTATCCTACTGAAGACAAATTCAAACACGTTTCATGTTTTAAAGGGAATTTTGAGCAGCTTTCACAAAAAGTGTTTATTAGTACAGAGTGATCATTTCACCTTCACACTCGCTACTTCGTGGGTCGACTTTTGCGAACTGGCTCTTTCGCGGTTTTTCAAAGTAAAATTGTACACGAGGAAAAAAAAAAAAAAAAGATTGTAAATGACACAATTGTCAACTTTACGTGATTGGGACAGGGCGGGACACTGGAAAGAGTTAAAAGAAATGTACTTCAGATAGGTGTCGCCGTTCGCCACTCAAAATGACTAAATTTCCCATAAGCCAACAGTGCACCACCCAGAAGCCCTGTTGCCTTCTGCTGAAATGGAGGGAAAGTTTTGATCCGATTCGAAAATGTTCGGTCCTTATTCATACAGTGACGTGGGCGCTCAGTGGATGCAGAGAGTCACACAGCACCGACTGAAACCGGACTGGACCTCCATACTCATTGGTCAATCAATTGGTCAGTGTCACCCGCTGGTCCACTAGACCTCCTGAGCAGGGAGGCACCGCCCAGAGGTCCTGCGTTATCTCCAGAAACCCCCCCCCCCCCCCCATCTGGATTTAGACTCAAATTGGGACCACCGCGTTGTCCTGTGCTGGCATCCGAAGGTCCGGCTCCCTCAAAACGTGTTTTGGTGTTCAAGGGCTGCAGAGAGCTGAACAGAACCAGACCAAAACCAGCAGGGCAGGTCTGCTGAACCAGAACTGAGCCAGACTGCCACTGTGTTCTGCAGAGCTGGTGAGTAAAATTGACAGTACTGTACAGTACATATACGAAAGTTGTTAAAATGACGTAGGATTAAGAGTTTAGAACACTACAAGAGTGCGGGAAGGGTTAATAAAGCCTTAAAGTATATAAATACTAAAATAAATATAGCATTCCTACTTCGCGGATTTTCACTTGGGTCTGGAACATAACCCCCGCGATAAACGAAGGACTGCTGTACAGACCGTGAGCCAGTTCATAAACTGGGAGTTTATCAGAGATGCTTTGAACTTACAACAAGGACTGAATTGGACTAGATGTATACATTTCATCTGGGAGTACTAAACTTGCAGTAACATCGTCTTCTGCAGAATGAGTGTGAAGTTTGAGTCTATTTAAATCCCTTGTTCAGTTCAGATTTAAGATGATAAACCAACGTTTTATTGTTGCACTTTTAAAAACATTTTTCTAAAAAAAAAAAAAAAAAAAAAAGCAAACTCTTAGTAAAACGAATCCAACTTGAGTTTCGAAGCCACTTTTTAAACCTTGAAAACGTAAAAAATTAAACCACTTCCTCAGATAATTAGCACTTATAGCATTTGTACCAGTCGTTTTAACATTTAAGGTCACAGATAAAAGAGGCAGGAAAGTCCTACACATTTCAGTGCGAGTGTCACCGAAGACGAGCTTTGACTCACAGGATTGTGATGACTTGGATGAAGTTGAGGCTCATGTTGTTCAGCTGAGCGATGAAAACAGCAGCCACGCACTGAAAGAGGGCGGCTCCATCCATGTTGACGGTTGCGCCGATGGGCAGGATAAAGCGGCTGATGTGCTTGGACACGCCGTTTTTTTCCTCCACGCACTTCATCATGAGGGGCAGCGTGGCAGAGCTGAGGAGCAGGAAACAGGGGTGGGCGAGTGTTGGAGAGCAGAAGGTATGTGAGGAAACAAGCGTTTTCGCCTGGAGAAGCTCCGTTAACCAGACTGAGCAAACAAGCGTGTTTTTTTTTTATTTTAGGGGGATTTGAATACCTGGAGCTTGTTCCGAAAGCTGTAGCCAAAGCTGCGAATATCCCCCAGAGGAAGTTGTAAGGGTTCTTCCTCGTGAAGATAAAGTAGATGCCCGGCAGCACGAGGAAACCGTGGATTGCGTGACCAACCATACAGCAGGCTATATATTTGCCCAGACTGGCAAACAGCGTGCCAACGTCATTCATCTCCACAATCTTGCCAGCGACGAGGAACATGATACCCAGAGGGGCATACCTGCAGACAGGAGGAACAAAACAGTGCTGTAGATCAGGTTACGGGAACACAGCACAAAGGAAAAGGCTCTCACTTAACAGGCTTAACCAACTCAGATCCGCGGCTTTGTGAAATATTTCTGAACGAGCATGACAAAAAAGATGATCGAGACATTAATTTGGGCTTTTATTGCAAGTTCTTGGTGTAAATTTATTTGTGTTCTTGGTTTTGCTGTAGCGTTTCGCTCAATGTTGTCGTTTGCCACAGTTTAGCGCAACATTAACACGCAACCCTCCTTACCACATGATCCAGGAGACCAGCACCATGGTGGCCTCGTTGAAGGAGTTGAAGAACTTGATCAGGATCTCTCCTTCCTCGCCCAGCTTCCTCAAAGCCACACCAAACACGATAGCAAACACCACCAGGCCGAGAATGTTCATGCCGTCTTGGTCTGATCCAATGGGCACCTGCCCACCAGAAATAAGGAGCTTTAAAAATCTGTCGTGCATTTATAATCCACCATAAGCAAAAAAATAAATAAATAAATAAAATAGGAGTTGTTCCTCACCTTCTCCACTGTGATATTTGGGTTTCCATCTGTGCCATTCCTTTTTATCAGCTTGTAGGAGGTTGCATACTGGTTGGAAAAAAAGGTTTTATTTGTTAAGAACCACTAATAAGTTCCCAATCAGCTTATCGAGCCATACTTGTTATATAATGTCATTCATGGACTCCGCAAATCGATATAAACAAGATCAAATACTCACAGACTGAAAGGCAGCAGACACCAGGTTGGAAGGAAAGATATTTCTGTAAATTGAAAAAAAGAAAATGTAAAAAACATATTGCGTTGTAGATCAGATTTTGCTGTAACGGTAAGCAGAACTCATGAACAATCTTAACATTTATACTTAAAACAGGAGTGCAAGAAAACAGCACAACAGTTTATTTTACTTTAACTACTTTAAACAAAGTGAATCACATGGATCGTGTGGAACTAGCTAAAAAAATAAGAACCATTAATCCCTCTTTCTCCTCTGTACCCTCGGCGTCATGTGACGGGGTTATAACGCTCACAAGTTGCTACATGCATTCAGTCTGACTGCATATAAACTAAGCCCCCCTCAAGAACTCACAAACCCAGCTCAGTTAATACGTCTGTGCTTGGCTGCCTGCAAGATTTAGAGCAATAAGGCTTTAACTTAACAAGCTCTTTACAGCCGATCGACACAAACAATCGGGCTCAAACCTCGTGACGAGGCGCTGGTACCCCACCACGAAGACCAATACTGACGAACTCAAGGACACGGGGTTTAAGCTTCCACTAAGATTCACGTTTTCTTTAACGGTTTGAATTAAAAAGTTCATTTTCCCTCCCAGACAGTGGTCAATTTTAGGAGGCTGCTTCAAATACTAGAAGACTCGAGAATATTTGGAAACATGAACAGAGACATTTCAGAGCTTGAAACTGAGCTCACACCTGAATACTTCCACTTCCTTGTTGCTGTGGCTACTATTATTTTTGGCACGGTGACGGTTATGAAACTCGGACTTAATGAACTCCTAAATCCTTAGTTTCCAACGAATCCATCTCAGCTGCTGCCATTTTCTTTGTACCAGTGAAAATGTCCTGTTTCAAGGCCATAAAACATTTTGAGATTATGAAGTACGTTAACTATATAAAGGAAGTAAAGCTGAATAGCGTCATTGTCGTGCCAACAACTGACACACACACATACAGCACGGTCACATGCCATTCAGAGGGTGTGTCTTCTTGATTTTTTTCGTATTTAGCTCCTATGACGTCTTTTCAGAGTATTGTCACCTCTTGGATCCGGCAACAACACCTGCCCCAGGGCAACGTAAAATACCACAGGTATACAGTCAAAACATTGGAAGACATGTGACCAGTGGGAAAGATGAACGAATGATAAACAACATATACATATTGTAATCAAGACCAAACTTACGTTCTTTAAAAATGTTTAAAAAAATAGTGAAAAAATGATAACACTCTTTTTACTTGAAAGGGTACCATAGGAACAAAGCTGATACTCATCCAGATAGAAACAAAAAATGTTATAAATCGTGTCATCTGGACCAGTTTAAGTGAGAAACGTTTCTCCCCCCATCCAGAAGACTTCTTCAGTCTGCGGCCTGCCAACACAATCTGTCCTATAGGTAGCCTTCGCTGCTGTGTTTCAAGCCAACCTCCTGTTGGAATCACAGAAGTAGGCTTTGAACACATCCAAAACAACCAATCATCATGTACAATAATGAAAATGTTTTAAGCCAGATGGGCAACTTGCTACTCACAGAAACAGCCTGAGGGCAAAATGGTTCAGAAAAATGGTTGTGGTTGTGCGTCACTGTAATAGTTTTAGAACCACTTTGACCTTGATTGTCCTCAGGCTGTTTCTGTGAGTAGCTAGTTGACCATCTGGCTTAAAGCATTTGATTGTTGTACATGATGATTGGTTGTTTTGGATGTGTTAAAAGCCTACTTCTGAGACTCCAACAGGAGGTTGGCTAGTTGGACGATCAGGTTGACAGACCGTAGACTCACAAAGTCCTCTGGGTGGGGGACGAAACGTTTCTCACTTAAAAAAAAAAAAAAAAAACGTCCAGATGACACGATTTAACCTTTTTTGTAGAGAAGATAAAGTTTTCCGTACACCGACAGGTGACCCGTCACAGCTGGACATCAACTGGGAATGTTGACATTAGTTGCAAATGGGAAAAGAACACACAGGAGATAAGAAAAGTCAACAAGGATGTGTTGAAGTGGCTGCAAACAGAGTGAAACCCGTCTGTGTCTACCTGACCTGACATGTGGTCAGTTTTACACGACAGGCGCTCATTAAACCGAGCTCGGGTCTGCCAACAACTAGTTTTTACGCTTGGACGAACAGCTCAGATCCACCCAGCATCTTCCCCGCCGAGCTCACCAAACCACATTCAAGCGAGCGCTAATGAGAGGCCTGCAGTGTTGACGATCATTTGGAAACACGTGTGTGCGCGCGTCTTGTGTCCAACACAAGATAAAAACTGCTCCGGCTTTTGTTCTTTATCTTGAAAACACGGCGGTTCCTGTGACGCGTTGAAGCAACTACTTTAAAACGTGGGACAATAAATTGATTTTAGGGTAAAAAGTCCATACACAGGGCAGATTGTACATGTTCTGACACTGAAAACCTTACAATTCAATGAGGGTGTGTTTACTTTTTTCCCCAGGACTGTAAATGTGCAGATCAGTTTTTTTTTATTCAGGCAACTGTGTTGCAGCTTGCAGCTCTGGTTTTGCAGCATGCCTTAATAAATATCAGTAATAATCTGAACAGCACTCGGATCTCATGAAAAGATCTGAGGAAAACACGTCAAGTCGTGCTACAGGTTTAAATCGCTCCTTTGTTTAGTGCGTCACATTGTAATATCGAGAAAAGTGTATTATACCATCTGCTCACTACAGACTCATGTTCAGGCTGCTGTTTAATATACTGTATTATTTTAAAGTATTAGAGTTTAGCGTATATCTAGATCCTTGTATACCGTTTCTTTTTATACTTTATATTTTTGGGTGCAACTGGGACCTTGACTACACAATTTCGTTCCACCTCATGTACCACATGGGGTGATGCAAATGACAATAAAGAACCTTGAAAAGACAATCCACTAGATATTTTGTACATCTTAGCTGTTGCGCGTCCAACTCTACTTATTAAAACAAAAAATGTGCAAAAATGACGAGACGTGACAAAATGGGAGGGCTGTTTGAATGTGAAGTCACAAGATTGTTTTCAAATAAACAGACAAACTATTTACATATGCGTTTTAACACCATGACTGTTGTGAGCAGGTGTTGCCTCATTTTTAATCATCATTAATTTTTTTTATGCATTATCTGAGGGACTTGTCCAGAGTGTCCTCCACCTCTCACAGTGATGGCTGGACATGGACACCAGTGATCCGAAAAATAAGAAGTGGGTAAAGATCATGGATGGATTATATGTTAAGGCTTTATTGTATTATTTTGCCCTTTTATTAATAGTATTATAATTTTTTATATTCAACAGGTCACATTTGGGACAACCCTCTGCCCACTCTTACTTTGTGCATTGGAAGCTATAAAGATTGGGAACCTTTGTTATGATTGGTGAGGGTTTTTTTTTATTTATGGAATGGCCGATGTCCAATATTTAACCTTATCGCCAATATCAGCCGATACCAATATAATGCCGATAATATCGTGCATCCCTAACCAATCTAAAAGGCTTCCGTTTTAAGTTCATTTTTAAAATTAAGAAACTGTCAAAGAATATCTATTAATGCACTACTACTCATGCACTTTTCACTTGTGAACAGGTTGAATTTAGATTTGTGAAAATTTACAAATTTGCACTGTTCGAGTGTTGTCATTGTGTTAGAGAGAGTAAATATCATGAATAAATTTGACATTAAACATAATCCAAGTTGAAGTGTTACATCATTTTCAGCTCCCTTTTTGGCATCTGCATTTGGTATCAGGACAAACTGGCAAAGACCATGCAGAATAATGTAGTAATTTAATGCCACAACAGAGAAAGCTGTGTAGTCTCTGTGAGTAGGTCTAGGAAAAAATATATATAAATATCGGTATTGGTATCGGCAAAATAAGTTAACATCGGATATCGGCCAAAAATCCAATATCGTGCATCACAGCTCTGTGTACTGACATTTAGTTAAAATAAACAAAGAAATGGTTCTGTTGGGGTAAATATAAATATATATTTGGTCCAAAACTGTCTCAGTTAAGTTTGTACAACAGAAACGTGAACTTGATTTCTTTGCGTGACTGGAAATGATCAGTACAGAACAGAACAAATCTGGCAGCGTTAAACGGAAATCCTCACATCAACGCTATGAAGCCAAACACTAAAACAAGTGTGTGTCAGGAAGATGTTCACTACTTCTTGAACGGCCTCACACACGTGTTGAGAGACTAAACTGAAGGCATGAAGTGTGTAACAGAGGCAGCTCCAGCCGGTTCCTCAGCTCAGACCTGGTGAGGAGCAGCAGCTGATGCAACAGCGTGTTGACATTACTCGGGTTAAAAATGGCGCCACGTGTAACGGCGGTTAAAGCGCATTTGTCGCCTTGAAGGAGGTGGAAAAGGAAAAGTTGGGGGTCTGTTTCACTCACCTTATCAAGTCCAGGAAGGAGTCTATGATTTCTTTATGCGCCGGCACGCTATCATCCAAGTCTATTAAAGCCGTGGGGTTGTCCACGGCCCCCGGCTTGATGATGAACGCCATCACGACCCCGATGGACGACGCGATGAGTGTGGTGACGAGAAAGAAGAGCATGGCCCACCCGCCGAGCTTCCCCAGGGCTTTGGGGTCGATGCTGGCCGCGCCGGACACCAGGCTGCACACGACCAGGGGGATGATGATCATCTTCAGGAGCCGGATGAGGATCTCGCCCGGGAAACCCACGTAAATTTCCTGGGTTTTCGTCAGCCCCACGTTGCGCACGCCGAGTCCAATGAACACGCCGACCACGACCCCGGCCACGGTGAGGATGACCAACAGGTTGGCCCGGACGATTCTGAGCAACCGGGCGGACAGCGGCTCCGGGCCGGTCTTCTTGTGGCCGTCGAGTCCGTTGGCCATGGGCTCGTCGTAGTGAGCCTCTCCGTTGGCTGCCTTCATGTCGTCAATGTCTATCTTCTCAGCCATATTTAAAAGTTACGCTAAACTTATATTAACAGTAGAAAACGTTTAACAACTTCTGTAAGTGAAGCGGGGGTAAAGCTAATAATTTACGAGGTTTTAAAAGACGAAGAAAAGCTAATATAAGAATACTTAAGTTTAGAAAGTCACTTTTCCGCGTGGCGGTGTACTTTTATACCGGCACATTTAGCTCCGCCCCATGTGGCGGAACTAGCGTAATGACGTATTAGATGGGAGGGGAGGGGTGGGGCTTGAGAGCTTAAACTCGACAGACAGGAAAGGGAACTGTGTCCGTGTCACGGATCAAATGTTCCGATTCATACATTACAATAAATTTTAAGGAAATGTTTGGTTGGTTTCCATGGTTATTATACTGTTGTCAGTCTGTGGGATTTTCTGTTCATGTATGGCGTCACTTTACTAAAAAAAAAATTGCAGTAGAAACAATTCAATCAAAAAGTACTTTTGATAAAATAGACAAGGAGAAAATAAGTGTCAGACATAAAATTGAACTATTATCAGCCTATAAAGGTTTCTGAAAGTCATGATTTTAGGAAACAGGAGAATATTTTATGTGTTGTATTTTACAGTTTCAAGTAAAAAAAAAAAAAAAAAGAAATCCAGCAAGAATTGCCACTATAAAAGTTTTAATAAATCATCATATGGCCTACTTCAACATGTGATAAAATGTGATTTGTAAAGAAAACTATGAAAAATGAGTTGTGTTTTCCAGTTAAACTCTACAGCTATATGCCAATATATTTTGATATTAACGCACTTTACGAGACATGTAATAAACCTGAAACAAGTGACATCTATTGCATCATACAAGAGTAATCTATTCCCTTGAGAACTATTCAAATAATGCAGCTGTGTTTTAGAAAAGTTTTAGGCAAAGCAGCCAGAAAAACATCAATCACATCAATTTAAAATAAAATGCAATAAATGAATTGTGGGATTAAATTAAGTGATGGCATTTATTTATTTATTTTTGCCCAAAAATAACCGTTATAAGAGTGCAGATGTACTGGAATATATGCAACTCTAATCTTCACCCAGATTACTCCCTTTTATTAGAGTGACGGTGTAACTGGGGCACATTACAGAGGGCAACAGAGGTGGAGGCTTTGCTTCTGCAGCTGCATGGACTGCCAATGGACTTTGATGCGACCTCCTTCCCTTCTGTGTTTATTTGCTCTCCACTCGAGTGCCAAATGAACAAAAACTATAATTTTTTTTGTTGTAGTTAGGACATCAAAGAGTAATGCACACAATATGCCAAACACAGTGGAGTTGGGTTTAAGGCATTTCTTTTACAGCTGCACTGCTTCTGACACAATCATTGCATCACAGTACTGGATAACCCTCTTTTAAAGTATGATAGTCTTTTAATTTATATTAAAAAAAAAAAAAAAAGCCAGAATGAATGGATAGGTGGATTATGGGTTTATATTTGCCTTGAGATGATGGATTTCTGGCTACCGTCTTGCTATATTCATCAAGGTTTTTGCTAACTAAAGAGTCATTGTCTGGAATACAAGAGGCTTACAGTCTGATATCTTAACATTTGTACACAGGGATCCAAGTCCTGCTGGGATTATCTTACACTCAAACAACAAACTTAAGTTCCTCTTTTTTTTAAGGGTCTCACTGATAGAAATTGGTGGGAAAGGCACCTTTAATGCCTGCGGGACCAGAACTCAGACTGGTAGAGAGCTGGCCTCACAGCGTCCAGTTTGTTGTATCAAGCTCACTCCTTTGTTGCCTCTGCCTGAGGAATGATTAGAAGGAATCACTGTGAAACTGAGCACCTCTCTGTGAGAAAGGGCGACTTCAATGGCTAAATCTGCAGGCACATGTCAGCTAAGAGAGTTTTTTTTACTAGAGTCGGCCCCATCTATAAAAACACACACTGCATGCAGTCGGTGCACATGCTGTGGATATGCATTTTTCACATACCTTAACTCACAAAAGAAAGACCTTTGCCTATATTTAGTGTCTTAAATGTCTTATATAAAAACTAAAACTTTGTTTCTCAGCCAACATGGTGGGGCAAGGATTGTCAAAATTTGAAAGGAAATAAGAATATTGTACTGAATATATTTCGAAGAAGTAACCACTCAGCCGATAAGGCTACTTCCATTTGCAAAATGATTTGAAAAAGACGCCTGAAGAAACAGATTTATTTGTTAAGAACGAAAGGTGTGTCGTATCAGACGGAAGTTTTAGCAGTACTCGACAACTGTGGCAACAAATGAGAAACCTCACTACATCTATCATCAAAGTTCATGCTCCAGGTAAATAAATCCGACAATGTTCAGTCAGGTCATCTGAAAGGTTTCTTTTTTTGGTTGAGACATTTCGTCCTTCATCCAAAGGACTTCATCAGTCTGAGGAGCCACAATGCGCCCAAGGGTCCACTATGTGGGTGTGCTGCTTGTGGGACTCAGTTTGTTGTGGCTCCTCGGACTGATGAGGTTCTTTGGGTAAAGAACGAAACGTTGCAACAAAAAAAGAAACAGTCCGGATGACCTGACTGAACTTTGTTGGATTTTGTACCTGGATTATTGAGCATGAACTGTTGCTTCTTTTCCATTAGTACCATTAGTACCGGTATAGCACGGTTCGACTTGGCTCAGCACGGTATGAGTTGTGTTTCCATTATACTTTCAGTAACAGTTCTAATGGGCGAGTTCAGCTCGGAGCCCCAGCCTCGGGTCAGCAGCTCGCATGATCCTCTGCGTGGTGACCAGTGGAGCTCGGAGCCCACAAGGACGGGGCCCGCCCAAGCCCTAGCCTCACGTGCTCCTGCGGGTCAGCAGCACAGAGGATCCTCCACGGTGACCGGTGGAGCTCGGAGTTGGGGAGATGACGCCATTTCTGGCCTGAGAGGGCTCCGAGGCTCCAGTGGAGAGGACCGGGGGGACCGGCGGAGCTCCATCTAGCTCGCTCTGAATTTTGTCGTCGTCCACCAAGTACATGAAATGCCTGCACTTCACCATTAAACCACGGTGTTGCCATTGCTTTTAAAATCTTAAAAATGGGTCCAGTTCCTTCTCAAGTTCGAGTTATTGCAAATGGCGGATCGAGTTGTTGTGCAAGTTTCTCAAACAACCAGTGACTCCATCCTCTGACCAATCAGTGACCGGCAGTGTTCTGATGTCACGTTTTAAAGTCAGTACGGCACAGTTGGAACCCCAGAGAAAAAGGGACTGAAAAAGGGGCTGGTTCCATGAATAAGTGCTAGTGGAAAGGTGGAGCCGTGCTGAGTCAAGTCGAACCATGCTGTACCGTTACTAATTGATAATGGGCTTTTGATGTTTTGAACCACTTTGGCTATGGCTGCCTCAGAGGAGTCAACGGGGGAGAGGGCAGGCCCCAGAAATCATCTTATCACCATCAAACTGGTTGGTCCACAATGTGGGTTTGCTGCTTGTGGGACAGTTTGTTGTGGCTCCTTGGGCTGATGAAGGACAAAACATCTCAACGGAAAAAGAAACCATCCAGATCACCTGATTGAACATTGTTGGATTCAGTAGATCTATGAAGATAGATAGACATAACACCTAGTCAGTGGTTTAAACACTTTAGAACATGGCTGACGCGCCGTAACTTCAACGTGGACAATGACTTCGATATCACTGTCTCTGAAGAAGTAGAGAATCATGAGGCCACTGCTTTCCATGACCCAGATCTGGACGGTTGCATCACTCAGGATGAGCTCTGGCTAGTGATTTACTCTTTGCATAACGGCAAGGCTCCAGGTCCAGATGGTATCATATTGTAAAAGTAAATCTTTACACATTCCAGAAACTTATCTTTTGTTGTTTAAAAATAGGGTTTGAGAATCTGGACATTTCCCAGAATCTTGGTGTTTAGCAGTTACATGTCTACTGTATAAAAGTGAGGACAGGCGTGATGTAAATCATTATAGAGGAATATCCTTACTTGACATAATGAGTAAAGTATTCATAAAATTATTGAATAACAGGTTGACTGATTTCAGAGAAAATACAACAAGCTGTATGAAGAACAGTCAGGGTGCAGGAAAGGTTATTCAGTTATCAATAATATCTTTATTCTTCAAGCTTCTGTTCAGAAATATATATACAGCTACAAGGTAGCTTGTATGGTGTTTTTGTGGAATTCATGAAAGCTTTTGATAATGTTCAACATAGGCTTTTCTATTGTGTTTTAATTAAAAAAATGGGGCTCAAGGCAAACTCTACACAGTTTTATAATCAATGTATTCTAAATTTAAAGTGTGTTAAAAATGAGGATTGTATAAAATACTTTTTTTTGACTGCAACAATGGCACATGGGTTGCATGGTTAGTCCAAAACTTTTTGTTTTATTTTGAAATGCGTACAAATCTATGTTGAAAGATGCAGAATGACAGCATAACTGAGCTCGCATTCTTGCTATTTGCAGATGATTTGGCACTGCTTTCAGACTACAGAAGCAAAACAGTGTTCTGAAAAACTTTAGTAAATTGTATGGTATGAAGGTAAACAACAAAACAAGAGTTATGGTGTTTAGAAGGGGAGGTGTGGTCAACAAGCGCGAGAAATGGTACTTTGAAGGTGAAGCAGTTGAAATAGTTCATAGATACAAAGATCGAGGCACATGATAAACTCCAAAATTATCTCTGTGAATAACCAGACAACACTTGAGTCAGCAGGCTAAAAAGACATGTTATTCACTTTTGAGGTTCATCAAAACTATCAAGAGGGGTTTTCCCTCTTTCATAGAATGGTATACAGTAGTTCCTCGTTTATCGCGGATGTTAGGGACCACGCCCACCCGCGGTAAGTAAAAAAACGCCAAGTATGGATACGGTAGTCCAAGTTCAAGTTCAGTTCAAGTTCAGTAAACTTTGTCATGACAGGTGCCAGGCTGTAATCACACACCTGTTACTCCCAATCTCCCTCCTTAAATAAACATTTTAAATTTAAACACTGTAATATTTTAAATAGGCAATCCATGCAGCATGGGTTGTTTATTTAAAATGTTACAGTATTTAAATTTAAATTATAGAGAAGAGAAGAGCAGCAGGACGTCAAAGGGATGACACACAGCTTCAGCTCTGCAGCACGGAGCAGAAATGTACTTCTTGATCAATTACACTTCAACAACTGAACA